TAGCCTATATAGTAAATGAAGCATAACAGTTTTCAAATGTGGACATAAAAACATTCCATAGCATACTCGTAATTACTTCACAGTGTCTTTTTTATTTATTTTTTGCAGAACTTTTCCTAACCACTTCCTAAATATCTGTTTTTGTGAAGCGCTCTCCACATTTCAACATTTGGTTGTTGATCTAATTAACTAATATGAAAAAAAATGAACACTTTCTCTTCTCTTGTCTCTCTTTCACACGGAGATGTGCATGAATAACTGCGAGGGGGCTGTAAACTGAGAGCTCCCAGTGGGGAAAAGATTGGATGGGGAGCATTTTTATATAACTGGTGAATTCCATAGACTATGATGTTGGCTGTATGTGTAAGTACAAAGCCAAACATTGAGATAAATACTGTTTGTTATTATTTACAGCTGACTTTATTCTGTCATCTCTATCTCCTTCTTGCAAGCAGAGGCCTGTTTCACAAAACTTAGATAGCGGATTAAACCGGGATTTTCCAGTTATCCAGGCCGAGTTTAGCCGTGACTTGGTTTCATGAAAGCGGCGGCACAAAACTTACCATGGAGATTTATTCTGTGCAGCTAGTCGGCTCCAGACCAGGCTAAGAGGCACGCTTGATTAATCCTGGTGCTTTATCTGTTCAGTCAGCAGTCATTGCAACTGGAAACCAAAGTGTTTTTCACACTTTTTAATATGCTTATGTGTGTATTTGCATTAATTTATTATACTGCATTAAAATACTGCAGTTAGGCTGTTATTATTTTAACAATAAATGATCACAGGTAGGACTACTGCTATTCAGTTAAGTAGCCTAATGTTATTATTCACATGATATTGTAACTTTTATATTGTGTTTATCAAGAACATATATATATATAAATATGATAATTAGTCGGTTCAAATTCGCTTTTCGTGAACTTTTCCCAAACTGCTTTGCTCTAAATTTACTTCATGAAGCAATGAAACAAATTTTACTGAGTAACATAAACCTCCCCACTAATTTTTAAGGCAAACATACAACTGTTCATTTGTGCAAGGGACAAGTAGATTAGTAGTTTAATTATGACAGTTTTACTTAAGAGCAGTGGTTAGTAGTCTAAATGTTTCAGCCTTTTTATGCTGTGTTTTATTACAGCGACTGTTTCCTTTTTCACATATTGTGCTTTACATAAGATTCTGTTATGTAAAGTACGTTTAATCCACTTCAAGATCAGTAAATCTGTGATAGACCGAGTGGTCTGTTGAAGAAAGCCGTCAATGCATTTATCCAAATAACTTAAACCTGGCTTCAATAGCTGCAGCTCCACAGCCGGGCTTAGCCTGTGTGAAACCCATTGAGTCAGGATGCTCTGACTAGACCAGATCAGGCCTCGCTCTTTTAGTTATCCTTGTCTTTCACCACACATCTGTGAAGAACATCCAACACAGCTAGTTTACACTTTTACAATCCACTTCTCCAGAGAAGAAGATGTTGCTAATATTATTCTTGTGGTAATGTTTGATTCATGTGGGATTCTGTTTTTTTAAACTTACACCACTGTTTTGCATTCCTCTGATCCTCTCCATTAGACCACATCACAACAGGGAGTCTGGTCTCAAGGCACTTTGTAATTATTGAGGATGTGACCGGAGCATCATCTTGAATAACAACTGTCTGGGTTTATCAAACATGGATTTTTAGTTCAAGTGTGAGATAAAGGGGTCCATCTCGTAGATAAATTACGATGGTGTGATTGGACTGGATGGTTCATAATGTGGCAGCAGGGTCAGAAATATATTTTGGCCATTAACCTTTCAGTGCTTCTTTGACACACAGGGAGGTTTAAGAACTGCAGAGCCTCGTGAAAACCTTGTAACCCTGAAACTGCACAATGCTGCTGGCAAGTGGTGACTTTAGTCATTGCAGACTAAGTTACATTTACAGTGGACTCTACAGTGAGGATTTATTTTAGAATATGTGTGTATATAAGCTGCCAGGGTCACAGAATTCATGATTAATCTCGTGCATTATTTAAAAAAATCACACAAAAGACCAACAACTTGCAAAATAGCCCCTTGGATTTCTCATATAATAATATTCCAGTGTTATTCTTCTTTTTTTCATAGAAATGACAGACACGTCCCAAAGGCGGTAACCAGCTGAGGGCAGACACGATGTGTTTTGTCATGTCGAATTAAAGCATACCTTTAGTTTATAGATGGTGACTGGTGACTGCTGCGCGCCGATGTAATATTTGACGCGGTACAAGGTTGATGTGGTGTAGCGTTGTATAATTGATAGTGCACGCGATGATAGAAACCGACTATGGGTGTTGTTTTTTTGGGAGGTAGTGGAGAAGCGAGAGAGAATGAAACAAGTGACGATGTTCAAATTATGTTGCTCGGTAGTGATATGGGGGTGTGCGACATGGTTGTTGTGCAGGGATAGATCAGAATTTGAGCCAGACAGAAGGTGAATTGAAATTGCAAGGGCGCTTGTAAGTTTCGGTTTATCAGTAAATGTCACATTCAGGAGTCGCAAATTGGTTTTCGCTGGACGCGCCCCAACGTATGGGAAAACTACGTTAGTACGCGCTCAGGACACATGTCTGAGGTAAAAAGGCTACGGAATTGATTTGCTCGTGGACAATGTAAGAGTTGCGAGTGAAAATTGAAACGAGTGACCCTTTAGGGCTATCTTGTTGTTTAATGGTGGAACATATGCAGGACTGATGTATGGCTTTTCAACAAAAGAATAAAACAAAACAGTGGTTTATGTGGTTACATTTGGGATATTTGAATTTTTTTTTTTAAGATTGAGTCATGAAGAAGAGATGTGGATTTAAAGAAGTTCGAAACAGGCAGTGTAATTTTGATTGAGACGTTGTGGACGGTGCGTGGAAGAGAGTGTTCGAGGGGGTCTTGTGGGTAAGAGCCGCAAATGGATATGCCGCTATCGATTTACTGGTGCATCTATAGAAGGACAGAGAGACACTTGAGTGGGAGTTCTCAACCTTGGACGGCTGGTTGGCACCTGAGCTCGGAAAACAGCAGAAGGATTGAACGGGGCGGGCCGGGGCTCGCGGACGATTTTTAGCTCTGATAAGGAGGAGGCAATTCTTGCCGAGAGGGAAGCGTGGCAATAAACATAAAACGTCAAAGTGAGGTGTCGGAGTCTAGTTCTTGTCCCGCTGTGGGGCGCGGTCTGCGAATGCGGGTGGAAATGAACCAGAT